AAAGAGCACTTCTCTGGCTGGTGGCCTTAGGAATGAGTTATTTCCTTCTTCTAGTTTTTTATTGTTTTCTGTATTATCTATAATAAACATGCATACTTTTAATTTTAAAAAAGTCAACTACAGAAAACACTGAGCAGTTGTGATTAAAGTAAATGTATATTTTTCTATTTGCAGGAATATAATACTATGTTTCACAATTCTTCCCTGTAAAGATTATGTTGACCATAACATTATAACTGATAAAGCAACTTGATCGGTGAATGTCTGTTAGGCAGATGGCAGAACAGTTTCATTAACTTTCTACAGTCTACATATTTTCCCTTACTAATGAAATACGGTTTTTATTATTAAAGTCTGGTCAAGTTTTTCCCTGCAAATGAAGCCACAGAGAGTTTAAAAATATAATCATTTGCCAAATGTCCTTAAATAATTACCAAGAACAGCAGTCCTGTGATTGATACTGAGCAATCCTTTGTGTTACTGTCCACGGTGTAGGAGAAAGAAGATGACTTCAGAATAGAAGTCCTTTTCCAGATAGGACTGAAAAGAGCTATTTACATTACCAGCACGTCTTCCTGCACTATTATGGGACAATTTTTATAGAGATGTATCCAGTCACCCGAGCAGCATTTAGAAATGCATATTTTACTTGACAGCATTTACAAATTATGTCTTTTCTTCAGAATAACTTACTCTGTAGAAATGCTTCCATATGCTAAAGCTGGACATGAGAAAGAAAGATGTTTTTTAGTGGGTAGTTTTCATATACACACTAATCTACAATATGCACAAATTAGTAATGCTGTCCCTTAAGAATTTACCATAAATGATTTTCCAATTCTTTCTCCTGCTGTCTGCTACAGACTGGGAGTGGATTTTGCCACAAAACAATGGGCCAGCAGGAATTCGATTAGGACTTTATCTTAAATAATGAAAATAATTTGATAACAATCATAATTCTTACGTTTTAATGAAAAAATACACTGTTTTTTTCTCAAATCCATTGTGTTCCTTAAAGTCCCAGGGGGAGACACCTTGCAACTTCAAACTCCAGAGCACATATACTTGCAGTTAATTCCTCTCTATCCTGACTTTTGAACAGTGGTTGATGAACTGTGGGCCAGGGCCAAATCCAACTCACCCCCTGTTTTTTTAAGTAAAGTTTTATTGGAACACAGTCATGCACGTGCATTTCCATATTGCCTATGGCTGCCTCTGTGCTCCAGAAGGAGAGCTCAGTCGTTGTGACAGAGATGAGATGGCCCAGAGAGCCTAAAATGCTCACAACCAAACCTTTATAGGAAAAATTTTATGACCTTGTTTTAATAATTATCTCCTTATTTCTTATGCTGCATAAATAAATGGATGCTACAACTGCCAGGACTGTTTCTGCTGCCAGGTCCGTGAGGCTGCAATGAGGCAGGATGGCGGCCCCAGCCCCGCAGAGCTCTTATAAAATACCAGGGAGAAATCCACGGCCCAAAAAAGTCCTGAATCCTTTCTTCTCTGGGGTGAATAACAATGGCCCTGCCAGCCAACATGCATGTCATTATATCTGGGAACTGTCCTAAAATGCATGTTCTCCAAGTAAAGGAATCTATAAATGATCTGAGAACAGTATTTTTTAATCTACATTTCTACTGTCAAGTTCCCAATAATATTTGGACAAAGGTGTACCATATACCAAGATGTGACTTTTTGCTCTATTTTAAAAATCAACCTTCTAAAGTAACTCATAAACCATTTTTTTTCATTTCTCAGAATAAATGCTCTAAGAAAGGTGAAGGCAATGACTATTTGTGAAGCTTTTGCTCAGGAGATATAGATAGGTAGATGTAATTCGGCCTTGTAAAAAATTAAGAGAGCAAAGTAAATTGATCATTTATAAAATATTTGGGGCTTATAATGGTCAGTTTGAGGAACAACAACAAAAAAGAACACTGGTACATTGATTTAACTGCTAGGATTAACAACCCTAGTAATTTCAAACCATAATAATATAATTAATAATGAAAATAGTTGTCTTAGTCTGCTCTAGCTGCTGTAACAAAAATACTATAAACTGGTGGCTTATAAACAACATAAATTTATTTTTCACAGTTCTGGAGGCTAGGATGTCTGAGATTAAGGGACCAGCAGATTTAGTGTCTGGGGGAGCCTGTTTCCCAGTTCACAGACAGCAATCTTCTCACTGTGTTCCCACACAGGAGAGGGGACAAGAGACCTCTTTGGGATCTCTTTTATGAGGGCTCTTACCCCTCATGACCTAATCACCTCCCAAAGCTCCACCCCAAACGATAACATCACACTGAGGGTTAAGTTTCAACAGACAAATTTAGGGGGACATATTCAGTCTATAGCATTCTATCCATGGCCTCCAAAAATGCATACTTTTTTGCATTCAAAATACATTCACTGCATCCCAAGAGCCCCAAAAGTTTCAACTGGTTCCAGCATGAACTTTAAACTGTAAAGTCTAAAGTCCAAAGTCTCATCTAAATATCGTCCAAATCAAATACTGGTGAGAATCAAGGTGTAATTCATTCTGAGACAAACTGCTCTCCAGCTGTGAACTTGTTAAATCAGACAAGTTACATGGAGTGACTAGACAAATTGTGGGGATTGTTTTGTAATATATAAAATATTGAATGACTATGATGTACACCTGAAACTAACAGGATATTGTTTGTCAATTATCCTTTAATTTAAAAAATTAATTCAAAAACAGAATCTTAGGAATGCATTAAAACTTGACTGCAGTGATATCCATTTAATCATCTCACAGGCAATGTTTAAATCTCCTAAATCAGACTATTCATCTAAGTCAGGCTATTTTTCCTCAACGTGACTATCATTATATTATTTTACTGTTCAAACCCTTCATTCAATTTCTGTTATGAACACACTTACACAGACTCGTATTCAAAATTCTTCTTAAGCTGTTCCCAGCTGAATTTTTTTTAACATTCACTAGACTCTTAAGGGAGCTTTTATTTTTCTTTGCTTCATTAAAAAACAGAAACAGAAACAAAAAATCATGTAATGTGATTCAAAAATACATAGTGGAACACAGGGATCTATTTGTTCCCATTCCAAAGGGAAGGAAGAGGAAAGAAGCGACCAATCCCAAGCAATGCAGACCCAACGGGGCCAATCCCAGGGGGCCTCAAGGCTCAAGGACGATCTTTCTGGCTTGATGCTCTGCCCTCCAGGCGCGCTGGGCCCCAAGGCTCCCGGCTGCTCTCCTGCTGTCCCTGCACAGATTTGCTTAGCCCTCCCTACTGCAGCTCTCCAAGACTGGGGTCCCAGGACCACCAAGGCCTTGTCCTTTGAGCTCTAGGTGGAGGCAGCTGGACTCCGTGGCTCTGATAGGCAGAGCCCGTGCCTAGCAGGGCCACCTGAGGAGCACCTGGGGCAGCGCCCGGGGCCACCGAGGAGCTTAGCACCGGTGAGCAGGGAGTGGAGAGCACAGGAGAGGTGGCACGTCAGGTCCAGAAGGTGCCAGCAGCCCCTCCTTTGCTTCCATCGTCTGGGACAACAGAGCCAGGCTTCTGCCAAGATGGCTAACTAATCTGACCAGGCATTCTCATTCTTTTCAATATGGATAGAATGTCCCAAATCTTTAAGTTCTGTGTTCTGCTTTCTTTCAAATTAACAATTCCACCTTTAAGTCATTTCTCTCTTCTTGCATTTTTCTACAAGTAGCCAAGAGAAACCGGCCCACTCCTTCACCACTTTGCTTAGAAACTGCTTCAGCTAAATATCTAATTTCATTGCTTGCAAATTCTACCTTCCACAAAGCGCTGGAACACAAACATAACCCAGCCGGTTCTCTGCCACTTTATAATAAGCATGGTCTTTTCTCCAGTTTCAATAACATGGTCCTCATTTCCCTCTGAGACCCCATGTGCATGGCCTTTACCACCCTTATTTCTACCAGCATTCTGTCTGGGACTGCTTAGACGTTCTCTATGAGGACTGCGGCTTCTCTTCTTTTTGAGCTCCCACCAGAATCACCTTTAGAAGTCTTTTCATGGCAGTGTAAGCTTTTTCTAGCACGCACCTCTAAGCTCGTCCAGCCTCTGCTCATTACCCAGTTCCAGAGCCACTTCCACTTTATTAGGACTTTGTCACAGTAGCACTCCCACTTCTCAGTGCCAATTTTTGTCTTAGTCAGTTGGGGCCGCTAAAACATACACCATAGCCTGCGCGGCTTATAAACAACAGAAATGTATTCCTTACGGTTCTGGAGGCTACAAGTCTGAGGTCAGAGCGCCAGCATAGCACCTTCCTCCAGGCTGCTGACTTCTCTTAGCTTCAAATGGCAGAGAAGCCAGCAGTGTCACGGCTCTAATAAGGGCGCTAATCTCAATCATGAGGGTGCCACTCTTGTAACCTAACCACCTCCTAAGGCCCTACCTCCAAATAACATCACACTGGGGATCAGTTTCACCATACGAATTTGGGGGAGACAAACATTCAATCTATAGTGGTTGTCCTGATTCTTGAAATTATGAATGGGGACGATGCAGTGGATGAAATAAGAGGGCTATAAATTTCCAAGTGACTCCAACAAAATGATGCTTAGACCTTGGCCAGGTCATCCATTTGTTCAATCAGTTAGTCATTCAACACGTATTCTATTGAGCACCTACAACATGCCCGACTATTCTAGGAGCTGGAAAACTGGCCTGTGTCCTACCATACACCATGGCTCCCTCTTAAGAGTCCTCCTGCATAGCTACAGCCAAGGCTTTCACTACAGATCTCTCCCCATCCTCAGGGACACAGGCTGCAAAGCCAGCACTGGTCTCGGATCAGACACTGACTCTGGGCACCTGCCTCACTGGTGCCAAGCACTTAGGAGGCATAGGAGGGCTGGTCAGCATTCGGTAAACGGGGCTTCCTCTCAGAATCAGCAGCAACTCACCCTCCAGTAGAACAGAACCCAGGGTGGAGACTGGACAGACCCCAGCTGCCTCTGAACGGCCATGGCTTACCTTTCTGTGTTCAGTGGAAGGCTGTGGGCAGACGAGCTGAAATCCGAGCAGCAGGAGACAACCCAGGACCCTGAGAAGGAAAAACAGCAACAGGCAGGGCTGTGAGTATGTTCCACGTGGCAGTGGCGGTGGGAGGCAGCATCTGTGTCACCTCTGGAAGGGAGAGAACCGTGGGACCCAGGTCCTGGGACATGACCCAGTGAAGACGCAGAGGGCCTGCCCCACGGGAGGGGGGGCGGCAGAGTGACAGTGCGGGCCGAGTACGGGCAGGTCTGAGCTGGGACTCAGCTTTGCTGCTTCGCCAGCAGGGCTTCTAAGTCAGGACGTGCACCTTGTTGAGCCTCAGTCTCCTCCCTTGTAAGATGGGGACAGCAGAGGTGGGCTCCAAGGCTTGGGGAGACTGAATAGGGGAATGCGGTGCACATGAGGTAGAGCGAGTGGTCCCCCTGGAGCCGGTGAGGCCAGGCTGAAGGGGCCTCTGAGCCCAGCCAGGGGAGTGCCTCCCCACACCCTGGCTTTCCTCTGAACACTTCCTCTGCCCGTCCTTGGCCCATTAGTGTCACATTATGCTCTCCATGGGCAGGATTAGCTGCGTAAGCCCCACTGTCACCAGCCCTGATTAGGGCTTGTCATCAAATAAAAGGAAGGTGTGGAAATAGGAGCCAGCTGGCCCCCAGACACCAGGGTATGCTGGGAGAGTGGGAGGCTCCGGATTGAAACACATCTAGGCTAGAACCCCAACTCCACCACTGCCGTCTGGGGGATCCTGGGTAAGCTACTGTCTTGGGGCCTCAGTGGTCTCATCTGTAACGACCATGGGAGAGGACAGAAGCGAAAACACAGGGCACTGTTATAAGGAAGGAAAAGAATTGTCAATTGATTTAAATGTCCGATTAATTTGAATGCCCAAATCATCAACAGCATTGTTTTAAGAATCCCTACAAAAAGGCCGCTGATCCTACCTACTTGCCTTTTGAATCCCTTTGTAAGGTTTAATCCTGAGGGCAGTTAAGTGACCCAGTGGCTCTCACCTTTCTGTGGCCTTCAACATAAATGAGAGACACAGAAGGCTCTGCCCGTGTCCGAGAAAGTCTCTGGGTGGAGGTGCAGATGAGGGAAACCTGTCTGAATCTGGGGGTGAGGACCTGCGGAGTTAGGACGGCTTCCTCCATCTCTAAGTATCCTAACTTCCACCCCACCCCACCTTTTGTATAAAAATGACCCAGCCCGAGTAGACCACACAGAATGGATGTGAAGACTGGCCAGAGGCCAAGCAGTGGGACAAGAAGCAGGGAGAAGGGATGTGGACGGAGGTGTTACACTGAGACCCCAAAGCTGAGGGCCAGGTGTGTTACACACACACACCTCCCAGAGAGGAGAGCTGCACCCTTTCAGGACCAGAAAAGAAGATGCCCCCCGCCCCGCCCCCAGGTCCTGTGCTGTAGCCCTGCACCTGCCTCCAGCCTCTACCAGGAGTGGGCGGTGGGCTGGAGAATGGGAGAATTTTGCTAGGTATGGATTTCTTCGGTGAGGGATGCGGGAGTGCAGAGCACAACCCCCCACGCCCCTATAGGAGGAAGGGTCAGAGGTCTTCTACAGCCAAGGCAAGCGGGGGGAGCTTCCCTTCTGAGAGCTTGACCTAAGCCCCTGTGTTTGGGGTGTAAGGACTGGTGCCTGATTCTCTCCTGAAAAGTATCTAGAGGCCCAAACCTGGCTGAAGTGCCTGGGAGTGCAGAGTAGAGAGAGGGCTGGAGGGGGAGCCGCCCATATTTCTGGAGCTTGCAGGAAAGAGGCTGGGTTTTTCCCATGAACGGTATGTGGGCACCATGGAAAGTTGGGCTTAGCTTGTCTAAAAAGGACCCCATCGTGGAAGATTGCTCACCAGGTCAGGTGGTGTGTGGTGTGTGCCCGTGGGGCACGGGAGCTGGGGTGGGGTCATAGGGGATGTGCAGCAGGAGACCCCAGTGAGGGGGGGATCTCCAAAGGACCCCCTAGCACGCCCTGAGAGAGGAGAATCTGGAACTTAGACATCTGCCAGCCCAGGGACGGCAACACCAGACCACAATGGGCACCAAGCCCACAGAGAGCCTCTGCCCAGTCACCTCTCCTGTCCCCTGCGCTGTGCTGGAGGGGCTGCTAATAGGGGCAGGGTGGGGTAGGGAGGCGAACTAGGAATGTGAACCAACCAGCCAAGCCCTCTTTCCTGCTGCAGGGCTCCAGGGCCAGACCAGGCCCAGTCCACGGGAGGAAGGAGCTCTGAACCAGCTGAGAGGCTGAGAGTTTTACATTTGACTAGATTTTATTTTTAATGGAGCGTATGTATACACAAAATCCTTCCAAGTAAGGGATCTATTCAAAAAAATATAAGATGAGATTAGTAGTTAGAAGAATCAAAGAGTTGGCTGAAAACTTGCTGAGGATCTAGGCCAGTGCCGCCCAAGAGAATATTCTGTGGTGAAGGCAATGCCCTGTCTCCGCACCGCACAGGGCACAGACACACGGGGCTGCGCTGTTCAGCACCCAGCAAGCCAACGCTGCGGGGCGAGCGAAGTTACTGGTGTCTCCCACGAACACTAAAACTACTAAAAGAAAATGAAAACGAAACCTTCTGAAAGGACAGGGATTCAACCAACAAAGCCATCCCCTTCCATAATCCACACATCTTTTTGGGACTTTTTGATATGAGAATAAGACTGCTCACTAAACCTGCAATGGACAGGAACACTGCCCGAGGGTCTTCCAGCAGTGGGGCAGGGGCATCGAGAGGAGTGAGTCTGAACATGGTGGTAGGAAAAGAACAGTTATTTCCCAGCTGTATCCTGACTGGATCCAGCTTGTCCTCTGAACCAAGGAACATGAGCATCACGACCCAGGAGTCTATGCTCCTTGGTTACAGGACCTTTGGCAAACCACTTCTGTCCCTCAGTTTCCTCATCTGTAAAATGGAAATAATATAACCTGCCCTGCCTACCTTAAATCAGTTCATGTAAAAGAAAGCACATTAGGAACCCATGATCACAAATCCAAATCATTGTAACGCATCCTGGCACTGCTTAACTCATTTTAAAAGGAACCTAGATTGGCGTGGTTTTGTTAAAAGAACAAACAACAGCTCCATAAATATGCTGCATCTCAGCCTCCCCAAGTTCTTAGCAGACACCTAAGCCATCTATTTGCAATGCAGTCAGGGGCACTTTTGCATAACCACTCCTCCCAGGTTGCACTTCTTTAACTTTCAGAGGGAATGGGGCAAAAGATGGGAGGAGGAAAGATTTTCGGCTTTCCCCTGTCTCAGAAGAATCACATTCCAAGTGGCCTGGTTAACTCTACTCCCAGATACTTGTACAGTCACTCTGTCCCCTCCTTCAGGTGTCTTCCCAAAGCTGTCCCTTCTCCATAAGGTTCCTGACTGTGAAAAACAGTGCTGCCTCTCACATACTATCTCACATACCATCTGTATCATTTAAATTTCTCCCTCCACCCCTTAGAATATAAGCTCCCCAAGATCAGGGAGCTTATCCCCCAGCATCTAGCAGACCTCTGCTATATGGTGAGAGCTTAATTCACTGAATGAATGAACTCGATGAATTCCTAATGCCTCATCATCTTGATGACCTAAGAAATGTCAAGGTAAGTGCAAAAAGGGTGAATTAACGTATTTAAAAATGTCCAAAGAAACACTGGGAGCTTTTCAAACTTCTTTTATGAGAGATTTATAAGAATCAGTTGTGCTTTTCAATTTCTAGGCAATGCTCAAAAAATTAATTCTCACAGGATTGACATAAGGTATGGGAACAAATGTTTCTTGGTGCCTCTTGTTGCAAAAATGCAACATAGGTTATATTTACATGTTCAAATGTTTCTTTTCTTCATCAAGCTGGGCCTTAATAAAGCTAAAATGCATAGGGGCACCCAATAAAATTCATCCTGGAATAAAATCTTAAATTGTTAAATGGGCTCTGCTCTGAATGGAATAGAATAAATTCTCCCAGAGGGGAAATTACTCTTTGAGCTGCAATAACAGCAGCCAGAGCAATATATAACCCCCGGGGCCAGATGAAACTCTGCCAAGGGCTGAACTTTCCCACCCCTGCTCAGTAGGCAGTTTTAGGGTACCCCGCCCTGCTCACACATACCTATCTAATTGGTAGTCTGTCGTTGTGCCTACACCTCTTCAAAACACCAGCAGTCTAGCCCAAATCCTTGTTCCTCCTGACCCAATTCAAAATTGATGCTTGGGGACTGGGAGAGCATGTGTGTGTCTGTGTGTGTGCAACTCGTGTGTTATTTCACTTGGCCGGTTTGCTCTGGCAAACTGCTCCCAGCTTGCAACGTTTTGACAGATTGCAGGCTACCAGGGCCCTTGGCAAATGAATCACATGCTCCCCTCCAAGTTGCAGGGGGAGCCCCATTCCTACCAAGATTTACCGATTCACCTGGCTGCCGAGACAACCCAACACTTCACACTGATGGAAAACAACAGAAAGGTATGCCATTTACCCGGCACTGTTCTGCTCTAGAGATTAAACACACCATCATTCCATTTGACAGCAAATACCGCTCATTGAAATTTGGCAGATTTGCATCGTGGAACTGGGGCTCTGGGCTTCAGTCTCCGTCCCCCACAGCCACCCATCCTCACCTCCAGTGACGGTGGATCATGTCACAGCCTCTGTGTACCTCGGATGACCTCAATGAACTCAACACCGCTTGAGCATACCAAGTAACAAAACAAGGAAAATAGCAAAAAAAAAGAAAAAAAGAAAAAATTTCCTTCTTTTCTTCTTCAGTTTTTTGGGAGCCACCTGATCACTGGTATAATTCTACTGACCTTAGCAAAGAAGCCAAGATCTCAGCAATGAAGTGAAATCTCTACCTACTGTGCTCTGGAGATCAAACATTTTTGTTAAGCATGCATTTTATTATGTTCAGTTCAACGCTCTGCCTTCTGCTGACAGCGGTTAAGAGTAAAGACAGCAGGAGAGGGAGCTGGGTGACCCCACTGGCATTAGACTGGCATTAGACAATGACGACTTGATGGTCCCTGCTGATCTCAATGCTTACAAGCAT